GCGCTGGTGGCGGCGGTGCACGTGGCGCGGTGTTTGGGGGGCGGAGGGGGGTAGGCGCCGAGCGAGAGGGCCGATGCGGCACGTGTGGGGGTGGTGGGATGCAGCGGCCCTCGTGGTATGGTTTCGAAAGTCGGGCAGCTGGGCTCGCCAGCGGGTAGCAGGACAACCTCTCTGCATCACGTGGTGGCTTTTTGGTTTTTCCTCGGCATGATATGAGTTGGTGGCCTCTTTTTTTCGGGTTGGCATAGCTGAACAGCGGGCGCCTGCTGGAACACGCAGCTACGAGGCTGGCCAGCGGGGCGCCGCGGCACATCAAGATGAGTGCAGCGTTTCGTGCTGCAGTATAGATGCGCGCCCGCTGATATCTGGCCGTTGTGCGCTGCCCTGAATCCGCCTGCAACGAAGCCAAAGCTCAAAAGGGTTTGACCACTGGCTGACCTGGTGGCCTAGCCACGGCGTGTGCAAGCAATGAGACCTGAGCAAGCCCCATCCTGGCATCCTCAGACTACTGTATCCTGCGCTGTCAATCTGCATTGCCACCTACAGTAGACAACACAACTTGACGCTGTGTTACACCAGATCAGCTCGCAGCCCGCACCTAGGGTCTTGCAGGGGCTATAGTGCACAATGTCCGTCTCCTGGACGGATGTGGTGCACGAGCAGCGCAAGGCAGCAGCGATCGCCCAGGCTCGAGCGGAATACCGGCAACGAAGGCGGGGCTACGGCGTTCAGGTGGAGCCAAATGCCAAGCTTCCAGCTCTAATATGCGTGGCAGGCGTCCTGTCCGGCCTCGTAGCGTGGAAGCGCGAGGGCAGGCACCTGCGCAGTGGCGACTGGCGATCGCTGCCGATTGTGCGCCACGTCGCCGCGCTGCTCGATGGGAAGCCGCGTCCATCTGGCCCGGCGCGCGGCAAGGTCAAGCCACGCGCCGTGGCACCGCCTTCAGCGGCACGCGGTGGCAACAGCTCGGCAGCGGCAGCAGCGGCGTTGGCGAGGGCCGCGCAGACCCAGCAGCCCGTTCAGCCCGAGCCTCGGCAGCAGCGGCCGGCGCAGCAGGTGAGGGGGCACCACCAAAGGCACATAGGCAAAGGTTGCTGGCGCCCCAGCGCATTGGTCGAGAGCAGCCACAGCGCTCAGTCCCTTTGCTGGACGGTGTCTTCCTGCACTCGCCACGTCCTCGCCCGAAACCGCTGCTGATGCACTTCGGCGCCCCTCGCCTGCATCCGGCATCACCGCAACCATTTTGTGCACAGCAGGGAGGATCGTCACAGTCAAAATCCGCCAAGAAGAAGGCGAAGAAGAAGCGGTGAACAGCTATTGGTGCTTTGCAGAATCTAATACTGTAATGCACATCGCTACAGCCTGGAAACCCCCCGGCTGTGTCTTGAGCAGGCAGCTGCGACGGCCTTTGGGACTGGGGGAGGCTTGCATCAGAAACTTTGCAAATCGCAGGGATCCGCAGGACGCAATAAGGCAGCGAATGCCAACTGCAGCAGATGTCTGCTTCAGACGCGCTGGTCTGATGAGGCGCAGCTGTTACGGCGGCTTTGCGCCAAGCGCTTGCAACAGTTGCCTCACTCCTCAGCCTTTTTTGGCACCAAGACCATAAGCTGAGTGGCTTGCATATCTATTGTAGTGCAGGTGGTCAAAGTGATGTTACAGAGCAAGGTGCACACTGACCTGTAGGGGTGCACACTGACCCGAGCAACCATTGCATAGAAGCGTGCTCTTGTGCATGCGCCAAAAACAAAGATACACGACCCACTCATTTACCCAATGCGCTGGTATGCAGGCAGATGTCCTGTGAAAGCACAGGCATCCTGCGCAGTGCTCTCACGGTTGGTATGCACGAGGGGCCCAGAGCCCTCCCAGGGCCGTTAGCCCTTGTCAGCATGGTGCGGGCAGCTGGAAGCCTAGCTGTGGTACCACCGTGTTTGGCACGGCTGCGTTTGCCCATGTTGAATCCTGAATGATTGAAGGTAACCTTGGTGCTCCGCAGCCCTGCTGAGTCAGCGTGGAGCAAGGCGCTGCTATGCGAAGATCTTTGCGTGCACATAGCTACACCTTGCGGCCCCGCTGCTGTTCTATGTTGATGTTGTGTCTTCTGGGAAGGGTGATTGCATGCCGCTCTGAAGGCAGGCGAAACCAGAGCGGCGCGCAGGTGTCATCGTCAGGCCAGGTGAGGCCACGCCTTAGCGGGCACTGTAGACCGCTGCGGCCTAATGGATGCAATCCTGTGTGGTGTGCAGGGAGAGTACATGAATGCTCAACCCAACTACACCTGCTGGCGTGCGTGGGAACATGTTCACACCCCAAACCCCTCCCACCCCAGGGGCACGATCCTCATGAAGGGCCAGGGTGCTGCGTTGGATGGCATGATCCCATTTGGTCATTAGAGACCCCAGCCACCGTCGGGACGTTGTGTCCTTTCAAACTGTCCAGGAATTGCGCGTTCGAATCGCTTTTTGTGAAACGCACGCATCTCACATTACCAGGTGCCCGGTCGCGGAGAGGAGTTCAGCATCTCATCGCGTTATGCGGCGCACCTCGTACGCTTGACACATAACACGAATCTACTGGTGTTGTCGGAAACCCTCGCAGCTGTGATTTCATCATCCTCAGCTCGCCTGGTGTGGTCACCGGTGCGTTGCCAAGCCCGGCCTCGGTGCCCCGAGCAGAAAGGGGCTCCTTGAACACGCCGTAGCATTCATTTTCAAGCTTATCTTATGCTATCAAAAAACCACCCAGCATGGACGGCTGATATCTCCGTTTGCATGGCGATGCCCAGTCCACCGTGGCGCCTCCGGCCACAATGGCCTTGGGCGGCCCTGTTGGTGCTCCTGGCAGGTGACAATGATACGCTTGCATTCTCTATCATGTCGAGCTTGACGGGGAGATCCTTCGCATGCCCCTTGGGTGGCGGATTTTAGGCACGCCGAAAACGTCGTGAAAAGTGTCATGCAAAGGCGGACATGTGCTAAATATACCATGCCCTCATCTCGTCATTAGGCTGTGTGTCTGCGGGTCGGCCTCTTGCAGCCCGGGATGTCAGCGGCGTTTTCGGCGCAGGTATGACAGGCCGCTGCACGGCTGTGCCGCCTCGCACCAGCCGCGTTCGCCTGCCGGCAACTCGCGCATGGAACCAGCACGCCTCACTGCATGCTGTGGCATGCATTCCTGGCTGTTGTTGCGCCGAAGGTTTGAAGTTTTGAGGGAGCGACATGGCGAAGACAGGAGAGCAGCTCCTCCATCATCTGGGACCCTGCGCCCAAGCTGGGCCGGGCGCTGCTTGCTGATCGTGCTCTTTGAGACTTAGGCACACCTGCACCACAGCTGCACCCCATGCAATGTCCCCCTCCCCCGCCCGCTCCCCGCCCTCAGCCCCCCCCCCC